GTGTGTATGATAGAGAGTAGTGAAGGTGTGTGGCAGAGTATTAAAGATGTATGATGGAGAGTAGTGAACGTATGAGACAGAGTATTAAATGTGTATGATGGAGAGTAGTGAAGGTGTATGACAGAGTATTAAGTGTGTATGATGGAGAGAAGTGAAGGTGTGTGGCAGAGAGTATTAAACATATATGATAGAGAGTAGTGAAGGTGTGTGGTAGAGAGTATTAAATGTGTATGATAGAGACTAATGAAGGTGTGTGGCAGAGAGTATTAAATGTGTATGAGAGAGAGTAGTGAAGGTGTTTGATAGAGTAGTGAACCTATTCTACTACAAACAGGTTAAGGGTCACCGGATTCTGTCTGCTTACTGTTGATCATGCCAAAACAGATTAACTGTAATAATATGAAAGAATCTATACTCTATAGTCTCCATGACTTGGTTGCTAGCATGTCATTGTACCCTGATGGCTGGAATATTGCTGAGGGTGGTGTTACACAACATGCACGCATGCATCCATGCACACACACATGCACAGGATCTCGCACGCACGCATGCAAGCATGCACGAACACACAAACACACACACAAACACACACCTCTTTGGTATGGGTCACTTGAACCAGTAATCAAGCATTGTCTACTTGTCTTTATAGTCGTGAGGATTAATTTGTCGTTTTAATGTCAGATGTCCATCCTCTGGATTGTTCGTAAATTTGACATTCAAACTCAAAGTAATCAGATAATTGAAGCCTGTTTCTAATTTGGAAAAGGTAACTTGTTAAATCTATTGCATACTTCAAATTAACCTTTGCTCCAAATTCATTGCTATTTATCCAATGTTTAATCTGAGACTTCACTTGCATACCTCGAGCTGAGGTGCTTTAGTTGCAGATTAATGATAAAATGCAGTCAAGCATTTGCCTGGATTCAAAACTGTTCATTCAATTTTGTGAGATTTTCCTTACGGTTTTAAGAAAATTAAAAGTGGTATAATTTGTTTACTAACAAATACCCTTTCAGAAGAAGAATAGGAATAAGAGAAAGAATAAACAATGGATGAAAAAGTAACCAACCTTTAACAACCTTGTGCCTTCTCACCTCAAAACTGCTCTTATTTTCAGCTGAATCCCAAATTCAAAATTGTAACTGATCATAACTAGAAATGCCTCATTTGGGACTTGGCTTGAATTTTAATTAAGCTGTTATGGCGAAAGAATACCAAGGGATTTCCAGCCTTCAAAATCTGACAAGTGCCAGATCAATCATATTTATTGTGTAACAAGCGGATGGAGGCGTTGGTCAAGGTTCCCTCTGAGACCCCTGTTTATTAGTTGTTGCAGCCTCTGCTTGTAACTCTCCCTGACACAGTTATAAATATTTATTGTGCAGTGCTCAGTGTCTGTCAGAGCATTTGGAACACAACTAGAAGGCTAAATTAGGAATGATGTTATAGCCGATGAGATTTGAGTCGCTTTGAAATTTAAATTTTTAGCCAAGAAGAATTTGAGTAAACATTAGTCATGCTTGATAATAAATATCTGCTTCTTGATTAATATAATCACACATCAAATGCTTGCTGAAGTTTTTTGTTGTTTTGTTTGATGATGGTTTATGGAAATGTATATTTTTAAATGATTATTAATTTTTTTCAAACCTATCGTTATTACATGAAACTAGAGATTGACATGAGATTTAACATCGTTAAAAAGAGAGAAAAGAAAAAGTTTGACAGATAAACTTTTTCTTGTTTGATATAATTCCATGTTTGATGTGTTCTCTGTTTGTCCTGGTGGCAGTTTATTTTCAAAAGATAAATTATTTCTTCAGCCACATCATACTTGTTTGAAATGTCTGACTATCATGAAATGTAACATGACTCAAAGGAAGGGAAGTGTGTACCCAGAAAACATAGAGCTATTGTGATTTCTTTGGTCTGATATACAGTGAATCTCTCATCAGAACCACCCCACACATAGAGTAAATACACCTATCTAAATGAAGAAACAGATATAGGCCACATTTTTTTCGCAGCATTCCGAGCAGAACGAGGTATACGGACCAGATTTGAAATAAAGGATATGCACATAAGTATTGAGAAGAGGCCAAGGCAAATAAAGCAACGATAACAAAGCCGTGAAATAAGATCCAGTATTTACTCAGCACTAACATGATGTAATCCCCCTGTAGCAGATGTCTACCTTACTGACACTTCATACCTCTCCCTGTTTGGACTGCGTTTGATTTACGCTGCAGCCTCGTGTCAATCTACAATATGTAGGGTTACATTGCGACCTGGGGCATAAGGGGTTAAGGAGGGAACATTTTGTGTAGTGCGAGAAGGGTGGTTAAGAATGGATGTATTTTTAGCAAATATTGAGAAATGTGAATTTGGACGATTTGGGCTGATTTTCCTGTAATGTGTGTGTTATTGTTTGGACTTTGTAAGAAAACGTACAACTTTATGGAAATCAACTTCTGGTTATTGTTATAAACAAAGTTGTATGTTTTCTTACTTTCTCACCAACTGGCAAGAATGCCAATGAAATTGTTTTGAATATGTTCCACTAAACAAAGGATTTTGGATGTCTTGATGGTATTTGTGTTTGAATTGGTTGATATAAAATAATAGATGAAACATTTTGATTTGTGGAAACTCAAAGATTTTAGTCTTTGTCTTCTTCCATTTTTATTTCTAGGAAAGAGAACTTTTACTCTGATATACATACATATCTAAATAGGTATTGCAAGGTTTGATGTTAAAGGGACTATGCTACTTGGCCTGGTGCCCTTTGCCAAAAAGGTCTAGATGTGGTAATAACTACCATGTTTGAAACTGAGACATTGTCTAATTTTGGGAGTAGATATTAACTGTTAGACGGATATACATTATAAATTGTGTGAGTCTGTTTTTACACCACTTTTAGCAATATTTCATCAATATCAAAACGGGGGACACCAGAAATGAGCTTCACACATTGTACCCATGTGGGAATTAAACCCAGTCCTTCGGAGTGTAGAGTGAACACTTAACCACTTGGCTACCTCACTACCTTATTGTGTGTTGGTAAAAAATAATATTTGTATGAATCAAACATGCTAGGACTGCCTTTTTGCCTTGGCCTACTCCCCCACAAGGGGGGGCAAGGGTGGCCCAGTCGTCTAAGGCGCCGCGATTCATTGTGCAGAGTTGCGTCCCTTGGGCACGCCAGACACCTATGATTGTGGGTTCGAATTCCTGTTTGCCCCGATTATGTTTCTGTTTTTAGCACCATACCCGTGCTCGGTTTCACCGAAGTGGTAAACGTCTAAGACCTGCATCACTTCGGGCTTTCCTCCAACATTAAGCTGACACACCATGATATAACTGGAATACTGTTAAAAGCGGTGCTAAACCCAACTCACTCAATCACTCCCCCACTAGGCCCCCTTCAGATTTATAATCACCTATCATCAAGCAGGAAATCAAAGGAAATTACTGCACAGTATAATCACCATCTTACTACTCAATCCATTGTGATATATATGTAAAGCTTTTGTACTCAATAATACTAAATCCTTTGATAACACCATTTGCCTTCTTTAACTGTGATCTCAGTAGAGTAATTACCATAATTAACACACATGATGACGTTGACATCTTCTTCAGTGCATCCATTATTGTGACTGTCGCTTGTTAAAGTACTGATCACTGGAAGCTAAGAGCAGTCTGTTGTTTTTTGTCACATTATGCACCTTACATATCTATACTTTAATGTGTCTGTGGGGGAAGAAATGCTCATATGTTTTTGATTGAGTTGCTTTTATGGCATGAAATTGTAAAATTAATAATGTATTAAGATTTTAGGAGATGTTGGTGGTGTGGCCTGTCGAGTTTTGTGAGCAGAAAGGGCTGTTATTTATCACTGTGATGAAAGGAAACGACTTTGAAAAAACAATTTGGGGGCACAGTAATTGGAAAAAAATATTTTGAGTTTCTTTGAAGAATATTAAAATGTCTATCTAGAATACAAGATGTATTTTATTGATGTTTTAGAACTTTCCAAGGTGTAAAATGGGAATGACGAAGTTGAATATTTTGAATTGTGGCTAGATTGCATGACGTTTGTCTTCAGTAATTTTTATGTTTGAAGTTGATTCATTACAGACCTCAAGGAGCCATTCGTTTCAGTGTTGAATATTCAGACAAGATTATATTTATGGGATTCCATTAGAAAAAGCATTGCATGAGGATACTAAAAAGTATTGATATATAACATGACATAAACTTCTGGCATTTTCTTGAAAGGTACTTTTCTCTGGTGTTGATGTAACACTTACATATTATTCACATTCAAGTCTAGTTACTACTGACTCTGACTGATTTCATGCATGATCTAATTTTCAGTACCTGTTGCTGGTATTTAAGATAAGAAACTGATAACAATCTTGTCGTCATCGGGGCGGTCAGGTAGCCTAGTGGTTAAAGCGTTCGCTCGTCCCACTGAAGACCGGGGTTCGATTCCCGCCATGGGTACAATGTGTGAATCCCATTTCTGGTGTCCCCTGCCGTGCTAAAAGCGGCGTAAAACCATACTCACTCACTCACTCACTTGTCATCATTTTTACTCATTTAGAATGCACACATGATTCATTTATCACTTGTACAAACATAATAAAGTCTGGATATCAAGTTCATGTATGATCTAGCAGGTATTTAGGATAAGATACTGATAATGATCTTGTCGTCATATTTTCTCATTTAGAATACACACATGATTAATTTATCACGAAAAGGTCTTGTATATAATATATTGTTACACTTATATATATGAAATGTAGTTTGTACAATCATATCAAAGGAGTAATTTATGCAGAACTGATGTTGGCTTGTGAGTAGTAGAAGTTATTTGTAACTTAAGAATAGGTCTGAATTGTCAAATGATTATCAGCCCCTTATAGTTGTGAGGAGGAGCAGATAAGGTTGGTTGTCTATAATAGCACTGGCAGTTAGTAGTGGCTGTGGCGGTGAGTAGTCGGCTAAACACTACCGCAGGGGTAAGATAACACAGAGGGCGGACTGACTCCCTGCTATCTGACATGTGTTATGATGGTAGGCTACACAAATCACTGAGCCGAGCAGGGCTGAGATACACAGAGATGTTTACCAGCATGTGGCACTAGCGGTGCTTCAGATGCCAGGAGGAGTGCCTCCACCAGTCTCTCTCTGAGGAGCAGACGGATTCCGGGACTGAGCAGACGGAAGGATTTTTGTGTCTTTGGGCGAAGTGTTACTATGATATTTATATAAAGGTATATAGCAGGAGGTGTTGGGAGCATGTACTACTGAAACACTGACCGGTTTGTGTCACCTGAGACGATCCTGGGGTTACATGAATGAGGGAATTCGGATCTGTTTTGATTCATGACTGGGTGATGTCTTCATATCTGTGCTACCACAGGAGTGACATATTGAGTCACATCAATGACTTTTATGTGAGAGGAGAGTGATCGCATCGGATTTGTTGACAGAAGTGTTCAGTTTATGAACAGCTTGGGCCTTGTTTCATCACACGGTAGCATCAAATCGTTATCAGGAGCTCGTTCTCACTCCTTTTGTGTCTCTCCTTCCAGCCTAATTTCTCTCATTACTGCACAGACTAACAGGCTGAATGGAACTTGTGTTAAAGGATGTATTGTACTACACTTCATTTCATTGAAGAGATTTTCTTACAGGAAATAGCCACTATCAAACACTGAACTGATTGTCATGAGGACTTGAAGGAATGTTTGAAAAGAATAAGAAAAGGGTTTCTAAATTTCTCTTATTAAATAACAGAGACATGCTTTCGAAGTGAAACTTGCCAGCGTGCGTTATCTCATACTGGGAGCACTGAATGCAAGAGAGACAAGCGGAGGATAGAGTATCGCCAGCTCTCAGGGGAATCAGGAAAGTGAGAGCAGAAGGCGCTACAAGAAGAGAACGCTAGCACATTGGCAGATGAAGGGGAGTGCGAGGGTGTTACAAGCCTTGTGTCGTTCCTTCCTTACTGCTTCTTCACTGTTCGCAACATCATAAAAGAGTGGAAACCTCTCTTCAGCCTTTGTCAACACCATACAGTAAAAGGCAAAATCTATTCTCTGCACATCGAAGATTGATTCATTGACAGTTGGTATTGTGAAGGAAATTTAATGAGCTTAGCCTGGCTGAGTGAAGCCAAGTGTATGAATGGTTAGCACAGGACGAGCCTTCTCGAGAGACACAAAGGCTGTTTAGGGCTGGGTTTGCCGTATTTTTTCTCTGCTGATAGCTGAAGTGGTCATTGCGAGGTGAACCCTAGTCTAGAGCGTGGCTGACTCATGGCTTGAGGACTGTATCATAATGGATTTGTGTTGAGCTTCGTGACACTGTCGACCAAGGCGTTATAGGAGTTACATACTTCGACAATTACAGAAAGGTAAATGCTTGTTCATATGATCATGTTAAAAATGCAATTTTTTCAGGAGGAAGCTTCTTCAGTTCTCATGACATTGCTATATATTGTTAAATGCAGTACACATCTGCTCATGTTTTATCAAAACAGTTTTTCACAAACTGGAGTTGTTGTTTTTCTAAGGATTATTCGTTGTAGGGGAGATATTTATGTCATCATAAAAGTATGATCTTGATAAGCTACTAAGCAGGACATATCCTCGTTACAGTTTGAATATTCAATGTTAGTGACCCCTCTCAGTCCCCTGCATGATTAGCGTCTAAGGCAGCGTGTTTTTAGTCAGTGGCAACGGTGTCAAGTTTCAGTGTTTAGCAGTAATTATATCCTTGACATGTTATTTCATTGATTATGTTCCTTCTCGGTTACTTCTTATGGGATTATGGTCTCATCTGTATGGGGTGTGTACTTTTAGTAGTTCACAAGGCTGAAGAGCTCTGTGATGTGGCAGATTAGATTCATGGGGGACATTTCCAAATTTGACGCATCAGTGACAAAAATGATGTCCTATGCAATTCCATATTTTGACTTGGGCCATGTGTACTCATGTTGTTTTGGTTGAACAATTTTCTTGTCTATACATGTGTTTGTGATGGGTGCCTCCGGTAGGGCTGGATACACTCACCTTTTTTGCGAATACCTTGGTATCATCACTATTTGATAGTGGTTCATAAACACATGCTCATGATGAGGTCAGAGTCATACGATCAACTCTGCTTTATGCAGAGATTTCTTGTGGTTATGGAAAGGTTTTGTTGCTTTATTTATTTATATGTCTGTAGACAGTGCAGATCACTTTGATGGTATGGGGTCAGTTTCTAGGATTCAGTTCAATGAATGCAAGGTTTGCAAACAGGATTAGGACGTTGATAATTTGACAGCATATTACTGAAGGCATATATGACATTAATGTGGGTAACCTTTCTAGTTCTGAAAAATGACTTACAATTAAGATAATGTGATCAGTACATGACGGCAATGTTATTTACTCATGTGAGCCACTTACAGCATAGACAGGCCCTTTAATTTTGTGTATTATTTACTGACTATTTGTGCATTTATTTACTGACTATTTGTGTATTCATTTACTGACTATTTGTGTATTCATTTACTGGTGTATGACTACTTGTTATGACAGTTATTATCAAATTTATAGCCTTGTGAGTTTTGAACAGTTAATGATCCTTATATTTATTCATGACTAGTTTTATGGATTGTTTACAAAAAGTAAGATATATTCATGCAATACAATAGTTAGTTTGTGGCAGTGTTATGACAGGGTACTGATTAAGTATTGATTGAAAAATTGTAAAGAAAGAGATCTTGGATAGTTCTGCGAAGATTCTTTTGTTGTAAAATTTTTATTGTTTAACGAAAAGCCTTTGTTCAGTGATATGATGACCCATCTTCTGTCAAAACTGATTTTTAAGTCATCCACTTCTGTGCACACAAATTCAAGACGTTCATTATTGACAAATTCACATATCCTTTTATGAAGGAAAGACCCAGTTCTTGTATGAATGCAGGGTTTGCAAACAGCTGTGTGCACTGACGTGTAGTAATAATTACTTCAGGATGGTGAACATGAGATCTCTCAATCAATGTAGTGATTTTATGAGGCTTGCTTGTTCTCTAACAGGATTAAAGGGAAACATTCAGGGTTGAGCGTCTCCTTCAGTTTAATAACATGCTACAGAAATATTTAAAATAAATCTAGAATGTGTCTATTTTATGTATTTCATAGATTATGGCAATAGATTATATTTGTTTATTTGTTTGTTTGTTGTTTAATACTGCACTCAGTAACATTGCAGCTGATTCGACATCATGAGCATCGATCTATGCAATTGGGATACAATGACATTCAGCAACCAAGTCAGTGAGCCTGACCACCCAATCCCGTTTGTCGCCTCTTAGAACAAGCATAGTCACCTGTTATGGCAAGCATTGGTTGTGGAAAACCTATTTTTAACCAGATTTTCACAGGTACAATACTTAATCTAGGAATTCAAGACAATGGATATTTGTTTATAAAACTGAAAGCTATGATGAGTATTTTGATCTGGAGTTCGAAGAAGGAGGTCTTTTCTCGGTGATCAATTCCGTCATTCAGGAACCAGACTGATGTTATTTTCATGTGAAATGTGACCACTTAGATCCTGTGATGAAGTCTACTGAGATCAATGATGTTGATGTTGAAAGTTATTGAATCCAGTGGCTCTGGTATGGCTTGCAAAATTGGAAATCTGATCTGTATTGAAGGATGTGCTACAGCATGGAAACATATCTGTGACTCAGGCCATTTTATGATAGTTTTGTCTGGAAACATTATCATCGGCTGGTAAAAAATGTCATTTATTTTACTGCATGAAAATGTAACTGTCTGTACTTCTTACAGTGTAAATAGAGAATTTTTTTTGTGATTTCTTGTTTTGTAATCATGAAAAGTTGTTTTTATGCCCATTTTAAATAAGAGAAAACCTGAGGTGAATTTGGTGCAATGGAGTTATGAATTAGGGATGACTTGTTTGGGGATTTTATTCAGTTATGGTATTGGAAATGTTTAGTTTTTATAAGACTAACTTTGGTCAAGTCTGGATTTTTCAAACTCCATTACCTTTTGAGATCAGATTGTTTTATCTGAATATAACTGTTGTGGTGATTGTGTCATACAGTACTGTTTGGTCAGTTAGGAATTGCGGGACGTCTTTGTCTGTTTTCATCAACAAATATTATGATTGGAGACTTGTATAGCAGCATTAAGAAATAACTATATTTTAAGATTATAGTCAAACCCGGGGGGTTTTGAACTCTTGGGTACCACAGAAATATAACTGGGGTTCACACATCCTCGTATTATCCTCTAACGTAGCTATCAGACAAAAGAAAGTATATGTACACACATATATATAAGAAGAAATGAAAACAAAAGCATTCCTCATAGACTATTATGATTGATGCAAATTGCTCAAAGTTTTTTTCAAGAATTTGGGGTTTTAGACTTTTTGGAATTTGAAGTGAGAATGAAGTAACCAGGTAGACAAATCAGTGTTAGGCTATGGATAAATACCATTAGAGTTTGTCAGGACCAGACTTTGAGTCCAACACAACGGGGGATATGACACATTTGAGACAACAGGAGTTGAATGTACATGATTTTGTAAACACAATGCAAATGTGTAATAATTATGAAATATGACTGATATTCACAAATGTACAAAAATAACATCTGATATGTATCAGATATTTGACTCAAATATTTGTAAAATTAATGTTAAATATTAAAGTGCTGGCATTTGATTGGATAACCATAATTTGCATTTTCCATAATAGAAACAAGTTAGGCCATGCCCACTAACACACTACTGTTTCCTGATTGGGTGATAATAGCATGGGAGGGGCTTGTGTTTATTTCATACTGTTGTCCAATTTTAGTGATTGTTTATTGTGTGTGTTTATGAGTAAGTACGAGTGAGCAATATGTAAAGTTATTATTGTTGACGTATTTAGTTATAGGATTGACTATAATATGTTTTTAAGTTTATGGAAATATTGACGTAAAAACTGGTGTGCACGCTTTGCGTGAATCCCCGGCCCAGGCTCTTAATGATGCCGGAATTGGTTAACTGATCTTGTAATTGAATGCGTGTCATGACACTTTTGCAAAATTTTCAGGACAACTATAAATATGGTATTGATATTCTGACTGCCTTTAAGAAAATTGACAGACATTCGTATGAGAAGTATTTTCCCATTTCAACTCTTCTCCTGAACTTCACTGGAAACAGATCAAACTAGCTATGGCTATCGAGCAAGTGATCAATTTCTCTACTCTCCATTACATCATCTATTGCATGACCGACAAATTTGGTAAGCGATTTGCTGAATTAATGGTATCCAGAATGCACTGGCACACCACCAGGGTGGTTATTAAGAGTTCTATGAATAATTGACGATCCTGTTATGGAAATTGATGAGAACATGTTTCTATCCATGCAGAAAATTTATTTGAAAATATTGATGAATGGTACATTAAGAGTAATAGCTGTTTGAGAGTCTTGGTTTTTGAACATTTTCTGTTGCATCATAGCTGTTAGCCTGATGGAAAGGGGAAGTGGTGAGAGGTGTTCCTCCGGAGTGTATCTCACCAGATTAGATTTGTAAGTATGTTATTGACACAGACATGACTCTGAAGATCAGGATTGAATTTGAAAGATTGGATATGTTTTTTATGTTGTATTTCTGGAACAAATAATGCTGAAAGTCCGCACAATAATATGATGAACAAGTACTGGGTTAGAAACAGAATAATAGGTGGGTGGGTGGATAGGTGGTTTAATGGGAACTTATTGACATCATATGGAGATAGGCTGTCCTTGTGGTGGCTTGATGAACAAATCTAAGGTGGTTGGATGGATGGAATGTTGTTGGACAATTTGAGTTTGTATAGATATTGCTTTACTTTCTGGATAAACAAATGGATGGTTTGACTTGATGGATAATCGGATTGATGGAATGATCAAATTCTAGTTTGTATAGATGACTCTTTACTTTCTGGATAAACAAATGTGGTTTGACTTGATGGATGAATGGATTGATGGAATGATCAAATTCTAGTTAGTATAGATGACTCTTTACTTTCTGGATAAACAAATATGGTTTGACATGATGGATAATTGGATTGATGGAATGATCAAATTCTAGTTTGTATAGATGACTCTTTACTTTCTGGATAAACAAATGGATGGTTTGACTTTATGGATAATTGGATTGATGGAATGATCAAATTCTAGTTTGTATAGATGACTCTTTACTTTCTGGATAAACAAATGGATGGTTTGACTTTATGGATAATTGGATTGATGGAATGATCAAATTCTAGTTTGTATAGATGACTCTTTACTCTCTGGATAAACAAATATGGTTTGACATGATAGATAAATAGAACGATGGAATGATGTGTTGAT